CCTCTGTTCTCCTCTCTCTGCCCCCCCCCCGCCCACTAGTGCATGCTCGCTCTCTCAACAACTAACAAAAAAGAAATTAAATCATTCTATTGATAATAGCATCAAACAAAATTAAAATATTTAGGAATAAATTTAATGAAAAAGTGCAAACTCCTATTCTGAAAGCTATAAAATGTTGTGGACAGAAATTAAAGAAAATCTAAAGAAATGAGAAATATCCCATTTTCACAGAATGGAAGGCTTAATATTGTTTAAAAGGCAATAGTTCCCAAAATGATCACAGATTTAACACAATCCATACCAGAATTCTAGCTGATTTCTTTATAGAAATTGCCAAGCTGATTCTAAAATTCACATGGAATAAAATAGCCAACACAATTCTGTAAAGTAAGACAAAGTTAGAGGACTAACACTTCCCAATTTCAGCTACAAAGTTATAGTTATCACCACAGTGTGGAACTGACACAGGGAGAGACCTAAAGATCAGTCGAATAGAATAGAGAGCCCAGACATAAATCCAGGCTATCTATGGTCGACTGATTTTTGATAAGGGTGCCAAGCCCATTTTATGAAGAAAGACGAAGTCTTTTTAACAAAGGGTGCTGGGAAAACTCTAGAGCCACATGGAAGAGAATGAAGCTGGACCCTTATCTCACACCATATACAAAAATTAGCTCAAAATGGATCAAAGACATAAAAATTAAACCAAAACTATAAAACCTTTAGAAGAAAACATAGAGACAAATCTCCATGAGCTTGGATTTGGCAAAGGATTGTTGGTATGACACCAAGAACGTGAGCAACAAAAACCAAAAGAGACAGACTTCATCAAAATTCAAAACTTTGCCACTTTAAGGGATATCATCGAAAAAGTGAAAAGACAACCCACAAAGTGGGAGAACATGTTTGCAAATCAAAAATTTGATAGAAAAAATGTATCTGAAATACACAAATAAATCTTATAACTCAATAAAAGGAGAAATAACCCAAATGAAAACCACATCAACTTCTGAATTATTATTTCTCTTAGGAAAATGTACAACTGGCCAATAAGCACACAAAAGATATTCAACATCATTAGACATGAAAGAAATGCAAATCAAAAGCAAAATGAGATACCAGTTTATACCGATTAGAATGGGTACAATCAAAAAGTGAGATAATAAGTGTCATTGTTGAGAAACTGGAATATTCATACATTACTAGTGGGAATGTAAAACAATGCAGCAACTTTGGCAAACAGTCTGAGAATTCCTTAAATGATTAAATATAAAGTTATCACATGACCCAGCCATTCTATTCCTAGGTATACACTCAAGAGAAATGAAAACATACGTCCATACAAAAACTTGTACATAAATATTTGTACAGAAGGATTATTCATAATTGCCAAAGGGTAGAAACAACCCAAATTATCCATCAATGGGCAAATGAACAAACAAAATGTGGCATATACATAAAATGGAATATTCTTCAGCCACTAAAATGGATAAAGTATTGATATATTTTATAACTTATATGAACCTTTTATTTTTATTTTTAATGTTTTATTTATTTTTGAGAGAGAGAGATAGAGACAGCGTGAGCGGGGGAGGGTCAGAGGGAGAGAGGGAGATACAGAATCCGAAGACAGGCTCTGAGCTAGCTGTCAGCAGAGAGCCTGACGCAGGGCTCGAACCCACGAACTGTGAGATCATGACCTGAGCCGAAGTAGGACGCTTAACCAACTGAGCCACCCAGGAGCCCCTATTATGAACTTTTTAAAAATATCATGCTAAGTTCTGCATGATTCCATATTAGCTAATTATCGTATTAAGGTCCAGAATAGAAAAATCTACAGAGACAAAGTAGATTAGTGGTGCTGAGGAGGTGTTGAGGAGGTAGAGGTATGAAAGCTAAGGGTACAGGATTTGTTCCTGAGGTGATGAAAACATTCTAAAATCCACGGTGTTGACGGCTGCACATACCTAATAGGGTAAAAACCATTGAATTATACAGTTTAAATGGGTGAACTGCATAGTGTGTGGATTATATATCAATAAAGCTCTCTGCAAAGGTTCTATTGGCATTTGAAAAGTTTTAAAGTGTTTTTTATAGCTAAAACATGGAAAGAGCCTAAGTGTCCATCCACAGATGAATGGATCAAGAAGATGTGGTTTATCTATACCATGGAATACTACATGGCAATGAGAAACAATGAAATCTGGCCATGTGTAGCAACATGGATGGACCTTGAGGGTGTTCTGCTGAGCGAAATAAGTCAGGCAGAGAAGGACAAATATCATATGTTTGCACGTATAGGAGGATTAGGAGGAACTTGACGGAGGAACAAGCGGGAGAAGAAGGGCGGAAATGGTGGGGGAAAGGGAGAGAGGCAAACCATGAGAGACTCTTGAATGCTGACAAAAACTGAGGACTGATGGATGTGGGGGGGAGGGGGGGATGGGCATGGAGGAGGGCACTTTGGGGATGAGCACTGAGTGTTATGTGGAAACTAATTTGACAATAAACTATTTGTAAAAAAAATAAATAAATAAAAAATAAAGTGTTTTTTAAAGCATATAAACATTTATACATATCTATAATCAACCTCATTATTTGTATTATTCCAGGATGTATTTTCAACTATGCTTTTTATAAATAATTTCATTTCTATGATCTCTCATGAGCTAAGCATGTATATTCAACTTCTCTACTACTATTCTGTATTGTCCATTTCTCCAAGCAAAATTCCTTCTCCCTAGTTAAGCATCTTTTCATTTCCATTTTACATACATTTTTATGCTAATTCATGGTTAAAGAGTTATGTGGAATAGCCTCTTTGTGGACCGCAAATCAGTATAAAAATATTCCTCCTTAAGAGAGGGAGGGAAGCAAACCATAAGAGACTCTTAAATACAGAGAACTGATGGTTGATGGGGGCACAGTGGAGAGGGGAAAACAGGTGATAGGCACTGAGGAGGGCACTGGTTGGGATGAGCACTGGGCGCTGTATGTAAGTGATGAATCATGGGAATCCACCCTCAAAACCAACAGCACACTGAATACACTGTATATCAGCCAACTTGATAATAAATTATATTAAAAAAATATTTGTCCTTAATTCAATCTGCAACAATTGGGGTGTGGTCTATATTAATATCATGTCTTCATATTTCTTTTAAATATATCTTTAGTTTTCCTTTATTTTCAATTGTCTGCTATATAGCATGGAACTCTGTTTTTAAACCTAATTTGAGAAGATTTTTTAAAATCAATTTATCCCATAAATGTCTATACTGTCTTATATGTCTTCCATTCTCTATTTTATAATATTTTTTCTTTTATTACAAACTTACTTTTTTTTCCTCCCTTTACTCTCCTGTTACTCTTACCATTTTTCTACATATTTTGGATATTTTATGGATTGATTTTAACTCTTTTAGAAGTAACTTTTATATTTTAAATACTATAACTTAGAAAGCTTACGAAAAAAACTGAAGAAGACACAAAGAAATGGAAAAACATTCCAAGCTCATGGATTGGATGAATAAATACTGTTAAAATGTTGATAGTACCCAAAGCAATCTACACATTCAATGCAATCCCTATCAAAATAACACTAGCATTCTTCAGAGCTAGAACAAACAATTCTAAAAATTGTATGGAACAAGAAAAGACCCTGAAGAGTCAAAGTAAAGTTGAAAACCAAAGCTGGAGGCATCACAATTCCAGACTTTAGCCTATATTACAAAGCTGTAATCATCAAAAACAGACACAGAGATCAATGGAACAGAATAGAGAACCCGAAAATGGGCCCACAAATGTATGGCCAACTAATTTTTGACAAAGCAGGAAAGAATATCCAATGAAAAAAATACAATCTCTTTAGCAAATGGCTTTGGGAAAACTGGACGCAGAAGAATGAACCTGGACCACTTTCTTATACCATACACAAAAATAAACTCAAAATGGATAGAAGACCTAAATGTACGATAGAAAGCCATCAAAACCCTACAGGAAAAAACAAGAAACAGCCTCACTGACCTCGGACACAGCAACTTATTTGACATGTCTCCCGAAGCAAGGGAAACAAAAGCAAACACGAACTACTGGGACCTAATCAAGATAAAAAGTTTCTGCACGGCAAAGGAATCAGAAAAACTAAAAGGCACCCAATGAACTAGGAAATGATATTTGCAAATGACCTATTGGATAAAAGTCAGCATCCAAAATCTATGAAGAACTTATGTTCTATATGGTCTTTTATGTCAGAAGAACATATTTTTTATGGGTAAAAAAATAAGATAAAAAAGAGGAAGGCAAACCCTAAGAGACTCTTAAACAGAGAACAAACTGAGGGTTGCTTGAGGGGATATGGGAGTGGGGTGGGCTAATAGGTGAGAGGCATTAAGGAAGGCACTTGTTGGGATGAATGTTAGGTATTATGTGGAAGTGAGGAGTCACTGGGTTCTACGCCTGAAACCAACACTGTATGTTAACTAACTTGAATTTAAACAAATAAAAAAAAAAAAAAAAAAAGAAGTAGGGGGCCATGGGTAATCATAAATAAATCTGATCTTGGTTCTTTTTTACCATAATTTTTTAAATGTTTACTGAGGCTCTTTCTGTCTTTGTCATAGTTTTCTGGAATGCCTTCAGATTTTAGGTTTTCCCTTATTTCAGTAATGAGACATGTTCCCTTACTTCTATTACTATCAGCCTTAAAGTATTTGTTTGTAATCTGGTTTCTATATTCACAATATCTTTTCCCAGTGGTAACAATTATTTTACAAATCAATACATATACCTACATAAAGTAGCACTGAAGTGATCTGCATGAGAAAGCAAATTAGAAAGAAAGAAAGAAAAAGAAAAATGATCTCTATTTAAATCATGAGGCAATATTACCATCAGGATAAAATGGAAACACCCAGACACAGGCTCTCTGTCTCTCTCATTCTCTGTCACTTGGCCTTGTACTCCCCCCATCCCTAAGCCCCCTGCCCCAATCCCATTACCTGCAATATCTATCTGCAAGGATTCTTGTTCTTCTGTCCAGGCTTCCTTAGGCACTGTCTTCTCACTATAGACCTCCTCTTTCTGTTTAATGGCTTTAGTGTCTGGTAGACTTTCAATCTTTATGTCTTGTAGTCGAGCTGAGGGCTCTGAAGCAGCAGCAGCACCACTAGAACCTAAGAGAGGTAAATTAACAGAGTATCCAGATCTGGATGTTGACAAAAAATATTTTAAAATACTTCTCAAGCATCTAATATGTGAAGGGCACTGTTACTGGTATTTTACAAAAAAATAAAAAGACCATTTAGAAATGTGTTTAGAAACTCTTAATCCAAATTGGAGTTTAAAAATATACAAAAACAGATGTCATACAAAATGAAAGAATTACAGCATAAGAGAAAGACAGAAAAGACGTATATGTACTCAAAGGAGGAGAAACTACCTCTAGCTTGGAGAATCACGAAAAAAGTCTAGAATAAAGTAACAACTGATTTGGGTATTAGAATACACATTGAGATGGAAAGAGAAAGGCATTTTAGGCAAAAGCAACTACATATGAAAACAATAAAGTCAGGAAAGCAACTGAACATCTAAGAAATAGAGCAAGTATATGGTTTGAGTAAAGAATTTATAGGGCAGCCAGCAATCCTGACCCCGCGCTGCAGCCGACTGGGCCAGGGCTTGGCTTTCAGGCCTCGCAAAACCCAGAGGGGAGATGCAGCCACCAAGCTGTGACTCAGTGTGGGAGGCAAGAGGGAACTGACGAGGAGTGGAGTTTGCTTCCCCTGGTGTAACTCTGAAGAAAGGAAAGGAGGAAGGAAGAAAAGACCCTTCTTCAATCAATTAGAAGACTGTTTCAAAATGTTCTTCAAACATTTTGAGGGCTGCCTCAAGAAACAAGCCAAACTACACATGGTGGAGAGTCCCAAATACTTGTGAGTAGGGAAACAAAATAACCAAATGCTCAACAAGACAAACCAAGAGATATCATCCAAATAATACTTCCAGGACAGACAGGCCCTGAACAGTCAAAAGAGCCTTATCTAATACAGCAGAACTCGCAGGGTACGTGTGTAGAACAAGTTTTTAACAAAATGACGAAATGGAAGAATTCCCCTCCAAAGAAATTCCAGGAAGAAATGACAGCTAAAGAACTGCTAAAAACAGATATAAGCAACATAACTGAGCAAGAATTTAAAACAATAATCATAAAATTAATAGCAAGGCTTGAAAAAAGCAAAGAGGACATCAGAGAAACTATGGCCACAAACACTATGGAGCTTAAAAATAGTTATGATGAAATAAAAAATGCGATAAATGAGATACATAATAAACTGGAGGCATCCAATGCACGGATTGAAGAGGAAGAAAGGAGAATAAGTGATTTAGAAGACACAATTATAGAAAAAGAAGAAACTGAGAAAAAGAGACATAAACTGATCCAGGAACACGAAAGAAGAGTTCGAGAGCTCAGCGATACAATCAAACGGAACAATATCCGTATCATAGGAATTCCAGAAGAGGAAGAGAGAGGGAAAGGTGCTGAAGGTGTCCTGGAACAAATTATAACAGAGAACTTCCCCAACCTGGGGAGGGAAGTAGACGCTGACATTCAAGAGGCACAGAGAACTCCCCTCAGACATTAACTTAAATCGATCTTCTGCACGACATAGCATAGTGAAACTGGCAAAATATAAGGAAAAGAGAGAATTTTGAAAGCAGCTAGGGAGAAAAGGGCCCGAACATACAAAGGGAAACCTATCAGAGTGGTGACAGACCTATCTACTGAAACTTGGCAGGCCAGAAATGAATGGCAGGAGATCTTCAATGTGATGAACGGAAAAAATATGCAGCCAAGAATCCTTCATCCAGTAAGCCTGTCATTCAGAATAGAAGGAGAGATAAAAGTCTTTCCAAATAAACAAAAATTGAAAGAATTTGTCACCACTAAACCAGCCCTACAAAATCCAGAGGGGAACTCTCTGAGGGAAATGTTGCAAGGAATGCAAGATGCTAGAGACACCACCACAAGCATGAATCCCACAAACGACACAATGACTCTAAACACATATATTTCAATAATAACACTGAATGTAAATGGGCTGAATGCTCCAATCAAAAGACATAGGGTAGCAGAATGGATAAAAAAACAAAATTCATCTATCTGATGTCTACAAGAAACACATTTTATTTTTTTATTTTTAATATTTTTATTTATTTCTAGGAGAGAGAGAGACAGCATGAGCAGGGGAGGGTCAGAGAGAGAGGGAGACACAGACTCTGAAACAGGCTCCAGGCTCTGTGCTGGCAGTCAGCACAGAGCCTGACGCGGGGCTCGAACCCACGAACAGCAAGATCATGGCCTAAGTGAAAGTCGGACGCTTAACTGACTAAGCCACCCAGGCGCCCCAAGAAACGCATTTTAGACTGGAAAATACCTTCAGGTTAAAAGTAAGGGGATGTAGAAATATATATCATGCTACGGGAAGTCAAAAGAAAGCTGGAGTGGCTATACTTATATCAGACAAACTGGACTTTAAATTAAAGACAGTCACAAGGGATGAAGAAGGGCATTATATAATAATTACAGGGTCTATCCATCAGGAAGGACTAACAATTATAAATGTCTCTGCACCGAATATGGAAAAACCTAAATATTTAAAACAATCACAAACAGAAACAATCTTATAGATAAGAATGTGCTAATAGTAGGAGACTTTAATACTCCACTTACAGCAATGGATAGATCAACCAGAAAGAATATCACTAAAGAAACAATGGACTTGAATGAAACACTGGACCAGATGGATATGACAGATATATTTAGAACTCTACATTCTGAGGCCATGGAATTCACTTTCTTCTCAAGTGCGCATGGCACATTCTCCAAGAAGGATCACTTACTGGGACATAAAGCAGCCCTCAATAAATATAAAAGAATTGAGATCATAGCATGCACACTTTCAGATCACAATGCTATGAAACTGAAGTCAATCACAGGAAGAAGTCTGGAAAACCTCCAAAAACATGGAGGTTAAAGAACACCCTACTAAAGAATGGGCCAATCAGGCAATTAGAGAAGAAATTAAAAAATATATGGAGACAAATGAAAATGAAAATACAACAATCCAAACTCTATGGGATGTGGCAAAGGCAGACCTAAGAAGAAAGTACAATGAAATCCAGGCCTATATCAAGAAATAAGAAAAAGCCNCAAGTACAAAATCTAACAGAACACCTAAAAGAACTAGAGGCAGAGCAACAAGAGCACCCCAAACCCAGTAGAAGAAGAGAAATAGTAAAAATGGGAGCAGAAACAAACAACATAGAGACCAAAGAAACAATTGAACAGATCCATGAAACCAAGAATTGGTTTTCTGAAAAAATAAACAAAACTGACAAACCTCTAGCCAGGCTTCTCAAAAAGAAGAGAGAGAGCACCCAAATAGACAAAATCATGAAGGAAAATGGACTTATTACAACCAACCCCTCAGAAATACAAGCAATTATCAGGGAATACTATGAAAAATTATATACCAATAAATTGGACAACTTAGAAGAAATGGACAAATTCCTAAACACACACTCACTACCAAAATTCACACGGGAAGAGATAGAAAATTTGAACAGACCCATAACTAGTGAAGAAATCGAAATCAGTGATCAAAAATCTCCCAACAAATAAAAGCCCTGGACCTGATGGCTTCCCTGGGGAATTCTACTAGACATTTAAAACAGAATTAATCCCAATTCTTCTCAAGCTATTCCAAAAAACTGAAATCGAAGGAAAACTTCCAGACTCATTTTATGAAGCCAGCATCACTCTGATTCCCAAGCCAGACAGAGATTCAGCAAAAAAGGAGAACTATAGGCCAATATCCTTGATGAATACGGATGCAAAAATCCTCAACAAGATCCCTGCAAATCGAATCCAACAGCACATAAAAAGAATCATCCACCAAGATCAAGTGGGATTCATTCCTGGATTACAGGGCTGGTTCAATATTTGCAAATCAATCAATGTGATATATCACATCAACAAAAGAAAAGGTAAAAACCATAGGATCCCATCGATAGATGCAGAAAAAGCATTTGACAAAATACAGCATCCCTTCTTGAATAAGACTCTCGAGAAAGTAAGGATAGAAGGAACCTACTTAAACATCATAAAAGCCATCTATAAGAAGCCCTCAGCTAACATCATCTTCAACCGGGAAAAACTGAGAGCTTTCCCCCTGAGATCAGGAACACGACAGGGATGTCCACTCTCACCACTGTTGTTTAACATAGTGCTGGAAGTCCTAGCATCAGCCATCAGACAACAGAAGGAAATCAAAGGCATCAGAATTGGCAAAGAATTAGTCAAACTTTCACTTTTCGCAGATGACATGATACTCTACATAGAAAACCCGACAGACTCCACCAGAAGCCTACTAGAACTGATCCATGAATTCAGTAAAGTTGCAGGATACAAAATCAACGTACAGAAATCGGTTGCATTTTTATACACCAATAATGAAGCAACAGAAAGAGAAATCAAGAAACTGATCCCATACACAACTGCACAAGAAACCATAAAGTACCTAGGAATAAACCTAACCAAGGATACAAGAGATCTGTATGATGAAAATTATAGAAAACTTATGAAGGAAACTGAAGAAGACACAAAGAAATGGAGATACATTCCATGCTCATGGATTGGAAGAATAAATATAGTTAAAATGCCTTTAGTACCCAAAGCAATCTACACATTCAATGCAATCCCAGTCAAAATTGCACCAGCATACTTCGCAAAACTAAAACAAACTATTCTAAAATTTGTATGGAGAGGGCAAGATGGCGGAGAAGTAAGGAGCTCCGTACTTGCACTCGCGCCCATACATCACACAGAAAAGATCTGAAGACATTGGAAACCTTACAAAACCTGAGAGATTGGGAGAAAAAAGACGCAGAATCC